TAGGAGCTACTTTGCATGCCTATTTTGCCCCAGGGAGGTCGCTGTGGTTTCTTTCTATTATGCTGCCTGCGGACATTGCGTCATAGGCATGGGGCCTTTTATTAGAATCGCTATCATCGCTTGTGTTGCATTTCCTAAAGCCGCTATCCTGTTGTTGCAAAATTTTGGTGATATAATTTTTTCTTGCAGGTCGTAGTTGCAAGTAAGGCATGGATGGTGCTCCCTCCTGCTATTAGGCCGGATTTTCATTCTTTATTTAGTAGTTTACTTTGTTCTAGGGCAGACTCTACTGCGAAGAAGTATCTTAAGGAAATAAAGTTTTTACTGTGGTGTAGGACTCGGAAAATTGCGCTACAGTTGCCATTTTCTTCTTCTGTTGTCGCCCTTTATCTATTTGGCTTAGATCAACAGCTTAGGTCCCCGGCCGCAATGGTTTTGGTCCATGCTGCGCTGAAATGGTTCCATTCCTTTGTTCCTGATGATGGTCCCAATCCTTTGGATAACGCTTGTTGCAAGAACTTGATTGAGTGCGCCAAGAGGACAAGGAGCAATCCAGTTCACAAGAAAAAGCCCGTGGACCCTGCTATCATTAGAAGCATTATTGACAGACATGGCGCTGAGGAAGCATCTTTAAAGGACTTACGTATTGCCGCAATAAGTTCTTTAGGTTTTGCAGGATTTTTTCGTTTTAACGAGTTGGCTAATATTCAGCCAAAACACCTCACGTTTTGCGATGGTTTTCTTAAAATTTTTGTGCCAAGGAGTAAAACGGATGTATATAGAGAGGGCAATTATGTTTATATTGCTAAGTTAGAGGGCAAATACTGCCCAGTAGCTATCTTACGTAGGTATATTGAAGCAGCCAATTTGGATCTGTCTAGTGACTTGCCTTTATTCAGGCCATTAACGAAGAACAAGTCGGGATATACCCTTAGGAATGGCAAGTTATCCTATACTCGCTGCAGGGAAATATTTAAGACTACTTTGAAAGATTTGGGCTATGACCCCAAGGAATATGGCCTACATAGTCTGCGTTCAGGGGGTGCTACAGCAGTTATCAGTAATAACGCTTCCAAAGCCGTTTCTGAGAGGTTGTTAAAACTTCATGGGCGGTGGAAAACAGACGAAGCAAAAGACATGTACGTTTTAGAGACAGAATGTAATCGTTTAAGTGTGACGAAACATTTAGGTATTTAACTCATATTTAAATATGTTATCTGTTTTTCCTTTACCAATGCTGTAAGATTACTTTTCATTAAAGTGTTAGGGTTCGCACGCGATCCATCCATATCTGATTTCGCCAAGTGTTTGCGGTTATTTAAGCGATAAATAATTTACGTTCGTTTGAGCGAAGCGAATTAGAACGTAATTAAAAAATTAAATAGCAAAAAGTTGTAAAATTCATGAAACGAAAATCTCAGCGTACATACCAGTCCTATTCCCCTTCCCCGCGGTCAGCAAAGGAAATAACCGAATCCTCAAGTAAAAACGGACACTAAAAAGACATTTAGGTGAAAAATAAAAGAAACTCTGTGCACTATGTAAACCTGAAGCAGGCTATACAAAAACTGGAGACTGAACTGCTTTTTCTCAAAGATGGCAACATTCGTGACTGAAACGTCCTTTCAGTTTAAGGAATGATATTTCGAATCGTTACAGCAAAGAGTTTGTACACAAAACAAAACAAAAAGTTGGGAATGAAGGTAGTTCCCTCGTAAGGTAAGAGACCTAAAACTTCTAACCAAAAATGTGAAATACCTAAAAATTGTCCTTTTCCCTTCCCTTTCTCAAGGTGATCGCATTCCATCGTGTTAAAAAATCTCTACTGATCATTGGAATTGTAGATCGAATAAAGATAAATAGTGAGCAGCTATTTCCATTAGGCGGCGTCAGAGCTGTCCCATACTTCCTGCAAACTGCAGGTATAATTTACGTCTGTTTCGTTTATTTCGCGGCGATAGCTCAGGTATGGATACCCACGACATTTACCCACACCCACACCCAAGACCCTCACCCACGACCCACGACCTCTACCCACGACCCACGACCCACGACATTTAGCTACACTCGTCCGCATCTGATCGACTAATTTCCACACCTATAACGTTTCTAGTTATTACCAAACGTCCTTAGACCCTTTAAATGTTGGGTTTTTGAAAACATATGGACAAAACGTTGTAGTCGCTTTTTCTTGAGTTTTTTCCTCGTGGACGATGAATGTTAGTTAATTCTCCGTATGCAAATTAGCCTTAGATTAGTAGTCTCAACAAATTGAAAGGAAATATAATCCTTGCATTTCACATTTTTAAGGTTAAATAACTCTTCTTTCCACGAAAAAAACAAGAACCGTGACTTAGAATCCCCTTAAGGTCTGTTTCTTTAGAGGAAAAAGCTGCTGAATGAGATAAATAATAATAATAATAATAATAAAATATCTATATAGCGCTTATACTTTTCAGTGCTAAGAGATATGTTTACGTGACTTAAAATAACTTAATTACTGTGGGCAAATTCGAATTTGGAGTCACTCGCTCGTTCACTTGATTCTGAAATTTCAGAAATTCAGCTTGGACCATCTGGGTTGTGTTATTTTTTTTATTCTGGATACCAACAGTTTGTAAAAGCGTTTTTAAAAATCCCGCTTTCTCTAAGAGTCCTTCAAGTGCTTGCCGGGTAAATAATTGCGTGAAAACGGAAATCAACCGTGGTAAATAAATTTACGTGTAACCGCATGTCACCTCGATAAAGTATCCCGATTAAAAATTTACCGCGGCAAACTTACCACGGAAAAGACCTTTTACCATGGTGTGTGTAACCGCACATTATATGTTATTTTTGACATGTAAAAATGTTATGTTTTCGCGGGAAAGCTCACCTAGTGTTTCATTGGTGTTTATAGTGGAGCTCCCGCGCGCGCGCAGCGGAGCACCATGGGTAAGAAAATTTGGTAAACTATCCATCCGAGAAAATTTGGTTATGACGTAGCGTACGCCCGCCCGCCCACCCGTACACACGATTCATGTAAGCCAATGTCAAATGTCACAATATAGATCTTGCACAACTTGACTAGCCTCTCAGTTATGTAAGCCATCCGTATGAGTACGATTAGATTGACAGCTGTTAAAATCAGACATCCGCTGACAATTATCACATGACCATCTCGTAGGCTCAGATAAAAGACCAGTCGTTTTGCCCCTATATATAAGCTGATATAATATGTCACACTTACCAATTCAACATAAAAACGAAACTACGCCGGGCAAGGCTGTCAGTTGGCTGACAGTCGTTTAAAGTTACATTGGCAAGCCAAATTAAGGTCAATTGACAGCTGTCAAAATGGGACATGTGCAGACCACTATCAGAAAACTAATGGCGTGGGCTCAGGTACACGATCTGGCATTTTCCACTACATGCCGGACTGATATGTCCTACTCACACTCGTAGTCTGTTAATTCGAATATTAATTATTCTAATGAAGGTTAATTGAAAGCTGTCAAACTAGAGTATACGCTGACCATCATCACCTGAGTGGATCGCGGGCTCATTTTTTATATCCATTGAGGTCACGAAGTGTTTAAAGTTTTGCGCTGATATTTTATTTGATCACGGGCTTCATTCGAAGCCCCATAGCTTTATAGAAAATCTATCCATCCCATAAAATTCGGCAATCACGTGACCGTACACCGACCACCCAACCTTCCGTCCGTCCGCACCACAGCCATACAAATGTTTAATCTCACACTTTCTAGCTAGTTTGGGAGCCTGCAACCTGATATTGTGCATCCATGTTTTGATTAATTGACAGCTGTCAAGATAGTGTTTCTGCTGACCAGTATCGCCTGACCGTACCGCGGGCTCAGGTATCAACCCTCTGAGTTCGAGTAATTTTTTGAAGGTATCCGCTACTTTTCAAATGATCGCAGGCTCAAGTTCAATTTTTTTAAAATGCATATGAAATAAGTCGTGTTCATGAGCCGCACTTTTAAAATGTTGATTTTGAACTGACCTCGGACACGAAAATTTAACTGGCTTTTACATTTACATGCAGGGAAGGCAATCGCTTTTGACTTTTCTTACTGTCAGGCTTTGATCACGTTCTACGTCCAATTTTTATGTTCTGATTGGTCAATATTTGACAGGTGAGTTTATGCGGAAAATTTTTGCAGCGTCTGGAAACTTGCTTACTGATAGCTGGAGCTGACAGAGTTTTGTGTCATCTTGTGATGTTTTAAACTGTCTTTTTCTACTTGGTGTACAAAATGAAATACAGCTGCTATCAAGATTGTTCTGTAATTCGTGGCTGGTTTGTTTATTGCGCTTTTTGTTGACAAATGCACCGCTTGTCAAAGTCATTGGAAATCCGATTTCGGATGGCATCGTTTTCAAAAATGAGCTTACTCGCTTCCCCTTGCTTGAGGCGTAAGAGGGTTGAAAAGTCTGAAGCGATTCTGCAACACTTGATGACCTTCCGAAGCAGCATCTCGACTGGTAAGCCTGAGCAATTATTGTCTTTGATGTGTTTTTTTTTTTTTTCGGTTTCCTGAAGTCGAGTGTATGGTTTATGCGGCTTAAGTTTATACAAGAGCAATGATCTAACCTACAATAGTCACCTGAATAGTATCAGGTTTAAAAAGCCTTTAGACATTTTTTGAGCCGCAAATTCAAAGAAAAGGTTCCGAAGATTATTTAGTTATGACTTTGGCTGTAAACGGAAAGCTCTGAGCGATTTTCTTGCCTTGAGTTCATCCTGAAAAAGAGCGAACACCGGGAAGTCGGCTTAAAACATAAATAAGCTTATGCTTACCTGACTCATGATTTTCTGGGACACTTTACTCTCAGTACTTCTGTTCGTGAATGAAAATTATTGTCTCTGTACATGTCTCACCGAATTAAATTTATTTTATTGATTGTTCGAAGTCCCTCTCGAAATTTTTATCGCTGCACCGGTTGTTTCCAGTCGAACATGAACATCGCATGCAGGGATACTTAAAACGGCGCGCTTTTAAGGATTACACATAACAAAATCATACACAGTTTAATGATTAAAGGGAAATAAAACCTAAACATAACAATTTCTCTATCATGTTGAAGCGTAAATGGTAACTCTATTAATCACACTGCCAATTTGGTGCCTGCCAAAAGTGAGAACCCGTCCGGCTGGGCGAAAAGTGATTTTGGGAATTTTTTTTTTTATCGTTTTCATTAAAAGCCCATAATTGTTACCCTGCATATCACATAGGACCAGATTTTTCTAACTGCAAAGTCCCGGCATTATAGAATTCTCTTCATGAAAACGTTTTATAATTCAATGCTATAATTTGTTGTGCAAAGGAAGCGCGTGCTTTGATCGTCGTGGATATTGAATGAGTGCAAATTCTCTTTCAAAATTGTGAAAAACTGCAGAATTATAGGTTTAAATAGGGCATAAAAAGAACAAATTCTGTCCGAGGTCTGTATGATAAAAAGGGCCTTATAGTACTGTTTACCTGAGACGTGATTAGAAAAAGTATGTTTAAAAGGCTGGTTTACACGCCACCAGATTCGTCGGCAAGATTTACTAATAAACTAAACTTGTCGAACACAAAAAATCAGGCCTGATTTTTTATTTTCGCCTCTCTTTTAGACAGAGGAATGCAACGTGTAAATTGGCTTCCACCAAGGACTATCGTGGCGCGTGTTTCTTAAAATTATACTCCGGGGTTGTCCAATTATCCATAGTCTCTCTAACGGAGCAATGTTGGAGAGACTGGTGAATGCCACATTATGATGCAACAGCTAATGCAAATACAGTACACGAATAGGTCTATTTGTTTTCCAGGCCTAATCTACTGTGATCGAACATGATTGCTATTTTTCGGTGTACAAATAAGACTATTTAATAACTCGATGTAAAATTTGTTTCACCCTTGGACGGTCAAATTCTCATTTTTCTCTAAAATCACTCAGCCTTTGCCTCAAAAGTCAAATCAATGTGCCCTGATCTGTGGATTACAAGTTTATTGTTTGATTTAAATTATGAATTTATTAACGGGAGCTTCGCTTTTAGCCCTGGCTAAATCTATATATTATAATAAAATAAGTTTCAAAATAGTTATCGACATCCTTCATCCCTCGCTCTCAAAAGTTACTTTGTGCAACTTTTCAAAATAGATGCGGTAATAGGCACGTTAGACAAAGGAGCCTGTTAGTGAATTCGTAATCCATTGTTTCAGTTTAAATTTGCCAAATCCTGTAAACTTAGATCAACTACTGCCTCACCTTTCAGCATTTTTGCCGCCACCGTGATAATTTCCTTATTGTCTCTCATGTTCCGCAACGTCGCCTTAGCAACGTCAGAGAAGGCGCCTTTGCCGATCACTTTAATAACCTCCACATGTTCTCTACTGATCTCCCAGCTTCTTCGCGAGGGATGAAGAGGCATGTAATCTTCCCCTCCCGGAATCTCGTAGGTAAAATTGGCAGCTTGCTCTGCTGTGCTTAATGGTTGTTCTATTGGCTCCACATCTTCTATGGGTTTCTGGTAACAACAGTTATTAGGGAAACAGTATTTGTTTTTCTTCAACGAATATGATACCTGCCCGGATGCGACACATTGGAGACCTAGTTTTTTTCTTTGCTGGCGAAAATTAAAACCCACCCTCGCCTCGAGCTTGATTTAAGAGGGTACGATAAAAAAGGAAATGGCCTTAACCGGCTACTAGCATGCATCCAATTAATTTTGAAAACAGCTTAAAACGTTTTCAAAAAGGACCAGATAGAAGGGTATAAGAGAAAAGGAAAGAAAACAAGAGAGTCAATCACAAGATTAAATCTTTAATGTGATGACACATAAGCATAAAGTATAGCGTTTAAGCTTTAATTTCATGGATGGCAATCATTTTTATTTTTATTTTAGTTTACAGGATGATCACTTACCAAAGCAATAGTTTCTCCGCCGTCCTGTTCGCTAAAGTAAAAGTTTTAATGTGGTAGTTAAATCATTTATCTTGGAATGTTTTCTTCTTGTACTTACGTGATAGTTAAGGTTAGGATATGAAAACACGCATGTTTCCATCAAAATTGTCGGAAAGCTTGATGGAAAGAACTCTCAGTTCAAAAAAGCCTTTCAGAAAGCTTTTTGTAACCTGAGAGTTTGTTGTAAAACAAATAAAAAAAAATAACCCGCAAGATTTTGTATAATATTGCTGCAAACGAGTTTAAGGCGACTTTGCGCGTCTGTTAAACAACGAATCTCAAACAAATCAAGCTGTTACAGGTTGTAAAAAGTAGTTCTATGACTCCTTTTTGTAGCCTGCAACACCTTGATTTAGACAGGTTTGATTCGTGGGTAATGGGTGCATGATAACCGTCACGAATATAGAGACATTAAGTGACCACTAAGCCCACTATGAGAAAGTTGATGTAATTGCTGTAGTTACTGTAGTTGGTGTAGTAGCTGTTGTTCGTGTAGTAGCTGTAGTCGGTGTAGTTGCTGTAGTTGCTGTAGTTGCTGTAGTTGGTGTACTTAATGTAGTTGGTGTAATTGCTGTAGTTGGTGTAGTAGCTGTAGTTGGTGTAGTTAGTGTAGTTGCTCTAGTTGGTGTAGATGGTGTAGTTAGGGTAGTAGCTGTAGTAGGTGTAGTTGGTGTAGTAGCTGTAGTTGCTGTAGTTGCTGTAGTTAGTGTAGTTGGTGTAGTTAGTGTAGTAGCTGTAGTTGGTCTAGTAGCTGTAGTTGATGTAGTAGCTGTAGTTGATGTAATTGCTATAGTTACTGTAGTTGGTGTAGTACCTGTAGTTGGTGTAGTTAGTGTAGTTGGTTTAGTAGCTGTAGTTGCTGTAGTCGGTGTACTTGCTGTAGTTGGTGTAGTTAGTGTAGTTAATATGGTTGGTGTAGTTACTGTAGTTAGTGTAGTAGCTGTAGTTGGTGTAGTAGCTGTAGTTAGTGTAGTTGCTATAGTTAGTGTAGTTGCTGTAGTTAGTGTAGTTGCTGTAGTTGGTGTAGTAGCTGTAGATGCTGTAGTTGGTGTAGTTGGTGTAGTAGCTGTAGTTAGTGTAGTGGGTGTAGTTAGTGTAGTTGGTGTAGTTAGTGTAGTAGCTGTAGTTGGTGTAGTAGCTGTAGTTGGTGTGGTAGCTGTAGTTGCTGTAGTTGGTGTAGTTGGTGTAGTTGGTGTAGTTAGTGTAGTTGATGTAGTTACTGTAGTTGCTGTAGTTGGTGTAGTAGCTGTAGTTGGTGTAGTTAGTGTAGTTGCTGTAGTTGCTGTAGTTGGTGTAGTTGATGTAGTAGCTGTAGTAGGTGTAGTTGCTGTAGTTGCTGTAGTTAGTGTAGTTGGTGTAGTTAGTGTACTAGCTGTAGTTGGTGTAGTTGGTTTAGTAGCTGTAGTAGGTGTAGTTGGTGTAGTTAGTGTAGTTGGTGTAGTTAGTGTAGTTGGTGTAGTTAGTGTAGTAGCTGTAGTTGGTGAAGTTGGTGTAGTAGCTGTAGTTGGTGTAGTTGCTGTAGTTACTGTAGTTGGTCTAGTTAGTGTAGTTGGTGTAGTTAGTGTAGTTGGTGTAGTTGGTGTAGTTAGTGTAGTTGGTGTAGTAGCTGTAGTTGCTGTAGTTGCTGTAGTTGGTGTAGTAGCTGTAGTTTGTGTAGTTGCTGTAGTTGGTGTAGTTAATGTAGTTGGTGTAGTTGGTGTAGTTGCTGTAGTTGGTGTAGTTAGTGTAGCTGGTGTAGTTAGTGGAGTTGCTGTAGTTGGTGTAGTAGTTGTAGTTGGTTTAGTTGGTGTAGTACTTGTAGTATGTGTAGTTGCTACTGTAGCTTTAGTTGGTGTAGTAGCTGTAGTTGCTGTGGTTGATGTAGTAGCTTTAGTTGCGGTGGTTTTGTGTAGTTGGTGTAGTTTGTTGTAGTTTTGAGTAGTTGATGTAGTTTGGTGTAGTTTTGTGTAGTTGCTGTAGTTGGTGTACTTAATGTAGTTGGTGTAGTTGCTGTAGTTGGTGTAGTAGCTGTAGTTGGTTTAGTTAGTGTAGTTGCTCTAGTTGGTGTAGATGGTGTAGTTAGGGTAGTAGCTGTAGTAGGTGTAGTTGGTGTAGTAGCTGTAGTTGCTGTAGTTGCTGTAGTTAGTGTAGTTGGTGTAGTTAGTGTAGTAGCTGTAGTTGGTCTAGTAGCTGTAGTTGATGTAGTAGCTGTATTTGATGTAATTGCTATAGTTACTGTAGTTGGTGTAGTACCTGTAGTTGGTGTAGTTAGTGTAGTTGGTTTAGTAGCTGTAGTTGCTGTAGTCGGTGTACTTGCTGTAGTTGGTGTAGTTAGTGTAGTTAATATGGTTGGTGTAGTTACTGTAGTTGGTGTAGTAGCTGTAGTTGGTGTAGTAGCTGTAGTTGGTTGCTATAGTTAGTGTAGTTGCTGTGGTTAGTGGCTGTAGTTGCTGTAGTTGGTGTAGTTAGTAGGCTGTGGTTAGTTGGTTGCTGTGTTGCTGTAGTTAGTGTGGGTGTTGCTGTGGTTAGTGTAGTTAGTTGCTGTAGTTGGTGTAGTTGCTGTAGTTGGTGTAGTAGTTGCTGTTAGTGTGTGGTTGGTGTAGTTGGTTAGTTAGTGTAGTTGATGTAGTTACTGTAGTTGCTGTAGTTAGTGTAGTAGGTGTAGTTAGTGTAGTTGGTTGTTTAGTTGCTGTAGTAGGTGTAGTTGATTGTGTTAGTGTAGTTGGTGTAGTTGCTGTAGTTGCTGTAGTTAGTGTAGTTGCTGTAGTTGGTGAAGTTGTAGTAGCTGTAGTTGGTGTAGTTTGGTGTAGTTACTGTAGTTGGTCTGTTAGTTGGTTGATTGTAGTTAGTGTAGTTGCTGTAGTTGGTGTTAGTGTTGTGTAGTAGCTGTAGTTGCTGTGGTTGCTGTAGTTGGTGTATTGTAGTAGTTGCTGTAGTTGGTGTAGTTGAGTGTAGTTAGCTGTATTTGGTGTAGTTGCTGTAGTTGGTGTAGTTGGTGTAGTAGTTAGCTGTAGTAGCTGGTGTAGTTGCTGTAGTTGCTGTGGTTGGTGTAGTTAGTTGTAGTTGGTGTAGTTGGTGTATTTGTTGGTTAGTTTGTAGTAGTTGGTTAGTTAATGTAGCTGTAGTTGGTGTAGTAGCTGTAGTTGTTGCTGTGGTTGTTGTAGTTGGTTTAGTTGCGTAGTGGTTTTGTGTGTAGTTGGTGTAGTTTAGTTGTGTAGTTTATGTAGTTGATGTAGTTTGGTGTAGTTTTGTGTAGTTGCTGTAGTTTGTGTAGTTTGGTGTAGTTGTTGTAGTGTTGTGTTTGATGTAGGTTGGTGTAGTTTTCTGTAGTTGGTGTAGTTTGGTGTAGTTTGGTCTAGTAAATGTAGTTTGATTGTAGTTTTAGGGTTGTTGGTGTACTTTGGTGTAGTTGGTCCTGTAGTTTAGTTGTTTTTTTGTTTGGTGTAGTTTGTGTGTGTGTTAGTTTGTGGTTTGGTGTGGTTTGTTGGTTGGTTAGTTGGTGTAGTTTGTGTAGTTGGTGTAGTTTGGGTGTGGTTGGTATAGTGGTGTAATTATTAGTTGGTGTAGTTTGGTGTAGTTGGTGTAGTTTGGTGTAGTTTTGAGTAACAACTTACAGCAACTACAGCAACTACAACAACTACAGCAACTACAGCTACACCAACTAACCACACTACAGCAACTACACCAACCACAGCAACTATAGCAACAACAGCTACTACCAACCACACCAACTACAGCTACTACATCAACTACAGCTACTACACCAACTACCTCAACTACACTAACTACACCAATTACAGCAACTACACTAACTACACTAACCACACCAACTATACCAACTACACTAACTACACCAACTACACTAACTACAGCAACTACACCAACTACAGCTACTACAGCAACTACACCAACTACAGCTACTACACTAACTACACCAACTACGCTAACTAGACCAACTACACTAACTACAGCAATTACACCAACTACACCTACTACATCTACTACACTAAATACAACAACTACACCAACCACAGCAACTACACTAACTACACCAACTACAGCTACTACACCAACTACAGCAACTACAGTAACTACATTAACTACAGCAACTACAGCAACTACATTAACTACACCAACTACAGCAACTACAGCAACTACAACAACTACAGCAATTACAGCTACTACACCAACTACACTAACTACAGTTGCTACACCAACTACAGATACTACACCAACTACATAACTATAGCAATTACATCTGCTACAGCTACTACACCAACTACAGCTACTACACTAACTACACCAACTACACTAACTACACCAAGTACACTAACTACAGCAACTACAGCTACTACAGCTACTACACCAACTACACCAACTACACTAACTACACCAGCTACAGCTACTACACCAACTACAGCAACTACAGCAACTACATTAACTACAGCAACTACAGCTACTACACCAACTACACTAACTACACCAACTACAGCTAGTACACCAACTACAGCTACTACAGCAATTACATCAACATTTTCATAGTGGGCTTAGTGGTCACTTAATGTCTCTATATTCGTGACGGTTATCATGAACCCATTACCGATTCGTGGCTGGTAAGAGGCGCAACATAGCTTTTGGACTCGTTTTGAAGCAGTTTTGCAAAAAAACGACGCGCGTTTTTGTCCCGCAGTTTTACCGCAGTTTGATGTTTGGTTTTCTCAGTAAATAAGAGAAGCTTCAAAGTCAGCAGTATTTTAACAGACTTAAATGCACTTATTCATTTTAATTGCTTTTGTTTAAGGTGGCTTCATTTTCTGGCTACAGGTGCATGAAACTATAACAAACTTTGTGTTATAACTTTTTCGGTTGTAAAGCGATGGGTACAAATCTTTTAGAATACCGATTGCCAATTGTCACATCGTACTGTGCTTAAAAGTGTTAGCTCCTTAGCTTTTTATGCACTATAATTTGCTCCAAGCCTTGCACAACAGTCCATGACTTATCCATCGACACATTTTGGAAATTAAAAATGTCATCTTCATTGGCATGTTGAGGCATGCATTTAGACTGGGAATAGCCGTCTCTGTTCCCTCCTGGCTGCTAGAGACGTTTCACGGGAAAGATGTCATCGCCTAAATGACAAAAATCCCCCACTTATTACGTGAAATCTTTTTAGAATCTGGTCAGAAGCTCTGAGTGGTTGACGAAGTAACTGTGTTCTTTTCAGCTATTGTTTACGAATGACAAACAAAAGGTCGCAAACGTCAACGTAAACACGGTGAATCTACCCCAAAACAGTCATTATACGTGGAATATATTCTTCTTTAAAAGAAGCATGAGAGTTTTACTGCTGATCGTTCGTTCACAACACAGCTCAAAACTTTATTTACAATACAATGCTTTTTACTGCTTTGCGTTTCTGTTAATTCAAGAACTAGGTATTGCATAGGGATGTCCAATAGAAAAGTAGAATTATTTCATATTATTGCCACACGACAACTCTCAATTTTATGTAAATGCACAAGCACATCTTACATTAAAATAATGTCCAATAAACTCAGAGGACAATTTTACGAACCTTAGTGGAAATTTGTGTTAAAATAAAGGGTTTTTTTGTACCCTAGATTAGACTGGTTTAAGATTGCTCACTGAAGAGTTTACAAGTACTTCGCATTTAAAATATTAATATGAAAAATGAATACTCACTTATTTGAATGCAACGAGCCTGAAATAAACAACACTTATCTTAGCAGAGGTTCACTTCATAAAACAATCTTTAAATTTAAAATACAGTATTTGGCAAAATTTTTCTAGTCGACTGTTGACATTTTGGCAAATTCTAAGTTTCATCAGCATTATTTTCGGGTTGTGATTGTAGATAAAAGACCCATGCAATGTACCTGGCCCAACAAAAATAAGAGGTTATATGAGACCAATCAACATGGACGGCTTAGAAGAAGTGCAGATTTGCCATAAGTTAAACCCCATTAAGAGCTGCGGTTCAAAATCATCGAAACCAAATACGCCATTAGGGGGCTCAACATGTTGTCGTGAATATAGTCATGACTACGATTTCTTACCTGAACGAAGGCGCATTTTCCAAAGTACAACAATGAGAATAAAGAGTATGATCGACAATAGAAGAATTACACTGATGTAGGCACCGTGAAGCACTCCCGTGTTACTACTCTCAGAACCTGGAATATTTTAAGAATGTAAAGCGGTAGTTTAAGAAAGAGACAAAACTGCATTTTAATTTGAAATTGAAACGATTGCAGTGCGTAGTAATTTATTCACATATGTCGACTATTATTAGAAAGTGATTGTCATCGATGACTGCTATTGAATCTTGAATGTTGACATGGCTTACCTGCTTGGGTTTTTGGCGGTTTTGTCGACACTGAAAACGAAAAACAAAAATAATAGGAGTTTACACCAGATATGAAAGGTTTCTTTGCTAATGTAATTAATCATACATTACAGTTCTTTGTTAACTAAAGAAAACAGCACAAACTTCTCCTAATAAGACCTTTTGATATAATTTCTTGGCAAAGAAACAAAAATTAAAAATGGCTGAACGAACAAGCTTGTCGAGCTCGAAGTCTGTTGTTTGAAAAGTGGGGAAACTTGAAGCAATAGCGGACAACTTTCAGTATTCGTTGTGATTTTCAGAGAAATCTCGCTAAAAATAATTATTTATACACCTACCGTCTAGCACTTTTATTCGCTTGATGTCCTGTTCCATTGAACTCTCTCCATACTTGTTAGTCGCGGTTACTACAAATTCATATTCCTTCCCCTTCTCTATTTCAACGGCATAAGAACGGTTATAGACATCGATTATGGTTGCAATTTTCTTCCACTCATCATCATTCGCAAACCTTTGGTAGACGGAGTACTCTATGATTACCGCCCCATTGTTATCTGGTTCTTTCCATTTTAGAATTATTCCATCAGTTACTTTGACAGCATCAGGAACATCTGCGTAGAAAGGAAGGAAAGCTGCGCGTTGAATTTATAAATGTCAATTGAAAATGAGCAAATACGTACATGAAAAAACAATTTCATATTCTTCCTTCAACTCAAACGTTACTCTTCCAGCCATAAAAGAATAATTATGGCCCACTGTCGACGGAATTTTGTTAATCGTTAGAGAAACTCTGTATTATTATATTTAGAATCTCATTCAAGGAAAAACGCAAACGTCAATTTCAGGTTGCCATTCAGGGGCAGATCTAGTGGGAGGGTGAGGGGGTGCGCACCCACCCTCTGAGATGACCCGCGGTTTTCTAATACAACTGGTATTCTGCAAAAACAAAAAAAAAAAAAAACACTCTGTGGTTTATTGGTGTTGAAGTAGAGCAAGAGACGAGTGCACCCACTCCTAAAAAAAATCCTGGATCCGCCCCTGCCATTTGTGTTCGGGTTAATGTAATAAAGATTAAACTGCAATGCAAGTACATAAAAGCAATAAATAAAGATCACGTGTTCTAATTGACGTTGAACGTTTGCAGTTTGTCATAAACTTGATTCTAAATTTCTCTATCGTTTTACAAACTATTACGCCAAAGCCAAACGTCGAACTTTTCTTGAGACAAACCGAATCGCAATTTGGGTAGACCTAAATTTAGTTAGCTAATTAAAAGTTAGTCTGTTGGGTCAGTTGATGAACTAAAGAAGCAGCGAGCCAATCAGACATCATCACCTGAAGCAGACGGATAGAACGATTTGGTTGATCCAAACTTATTGCTACGAAGTTAACTGAGACAGACGTCAAACGTTTTCATGAACTTAATCGGCCCAGTTTGGTTCCTGTAATGAAATTTCGATGTTTCGCCTTAACCATATTTAAGGAAACAATATTTTTGAAGAATTCCTTATTAAAAAATTATGGAATAATTTTCCCAAAAGCTTGGGACCTGACAAGTGCATTCAAAAATCGTTGCAGAAAGTATTTCAAGAATCTTTTCTCTTTCCTTTCATAAATTGTAATCTATTCTTAAATTCCGTGGACTAGCCTAACTGTCCTTTCCCAACTTCCCTGCTGTTCTCTTTGTGTTTTTTACGGAATGTTTACAGTGAAAATGGATTAAATTAAACCAAATTGAAATTGTTCCAATTAGGGAATAAGTCTTACTAACAAAATCTAATCAAAGCTTTCTTAAAAAGACGAATGAATTCAAATTTAATTAAGATTTGTAGTACCTCCTAATACTGAGATTCTCTTGATCTTTTCCACTTTTTTTTTACTTTCGCCACATTTGTTTGAGGCAGTGACCACAAATTCGTAATCTCGACCAATCTCTAAATCGACAGCAACCTCACGAACTGAGACACTAGTTATATCCTGTACTTTAGCCCATTCATGCGACGTGTCTCCATCATTTACAATTCTTTGGTACACAGTGTACTTTGTGATCGGCGCACCACTATTCTGTGACTTCTTCCACTTTAGATTCACCTTCACATTTTTTGTCTCAACTGGTAACTCGTTTATTAAGGCGGCTTCTGGAATACCTTAAAATATAAAGAAAGGGTATTATAAGCAAAACTGTCCACCGTGCACACTGCTTAAAATGTTACCTGCCTCAATATGTTTAGCAGAACATGATCAAAGTGAATTTGACCTCACAATCCCCCAAAAAAGAACTAAAAAAAAAAACATCTATATCGATCCACGTATAGCGTTTCGGATATGTTTTCAGTTTTTTATTCCTTTTGTTATCGATTTTGAGAGTGTATCGCGTGAGATGACATTAAGGGTCGGTCATATAAACGAAGTCTTACTTACGCGGTGGTTTAAGAAATGATTGGCCATTTAGATCTCTTTCTTAGTGGGTTAATAAAAAAAAGAATCTATTGAGTGCTTTTCCAGTCTAAGCTATGTGCTTTTTTTGAAATTGTTCATAAGAAATGGTGTTTTCGATAACAGCAATGAGCGAACTAAAAAAGGGCTTAGAACGAGGTTTCGTTGAACACGGGCTAGACTCCGTTTAAATAACTGGCCCTAAACGTTTCATAGAAATAATATATAGATTTAGCCAGGGCTAAAAGCGAGGCTCCCATTAGTAAATTTATAATTTAAATTAAACAATAAACTTGTATTCGAATTCCATTAGAGAAAAATAATTTGCAAACAGCCCAAGAGTGAACCAAATCTTACATCGAGTTGATAGCCTCATATGTACACTCAAAAACTGGTAATCATCTTTTATCACATTTAAGAGCCGTAATGGCTATTGATCACCGTAGATCAATTCGGCTTAGAAAAAAAACCAGGCCAACGTTTTGGCGTTCGACAAGTTTACTTTGCAAAATCTTGCCAACAAATCTGGGTGCGTGTAAACCAACCTTTTATACCATGGACAGAAAGCAGTATTTCACAATACAAATTGCTCTCATTCAATATTTATAAACTGTTAAAAAAATTTTCCAAAATCACCTATACGGCCATCCGGTTCTCACTTTTGTAGTGCGAGCTGTAGCGAGTGTTTGAATGAACATTAACAGAGTTACGCTCCAAGATAATAAAGAATTTATCATGTTTATTTTTTATTTGATGGTTTAACGCGCGGCATTTTGAGAACTCCTGCAAGCGATGTTCATTGAACGACTGAAAACAATCGGCATAGCGATTAAAATTGCAAGAGAGACTACTAACAATCAATAAAAGAAATATAATTCGGTGAAACATAAACAGAGACAACAATTTTCATTCAGGAAGACAAGTATTAAAGTGTCCCTAAATATCCTGAATCTTCAAGCTTCAAGCTTAAGTTTGCTGAAGTTTATGTTTTAAGCCAGCTTCCCGGTGTTTGTTTTTTCAAAGACGAACTCGAGGCAAGAAAATCGCTCAAAGCTTTCTTTTCCGGCTGGAATTATAACTAAAGATTCTTTGGAACATTTTCTTTCTATTTGCGGTGAGAAACTGTCTAAAGGCTTTTTAAAGTTCTGTAAGATTATATCAAACCAGATACTCGGTGAGATCGTTGTCTCAAATCTTACAAACGCGCATAAACTAAATTCCCGCATAAACTACGCTCCACTTCATTAAATTAGATACAAAAAACAAACATGAAATACAATAATTTCTCTGGCTTACCATTCGAGATGCAGCTCCTGAAAGTTATCAGGTAAAGCCAGTATCGCTTCAGACTTTGCAATCCTCTTACGCATCAAGCAAGGTGAAAACGAAAACGATGCCATCCGAAATCGGATTTCCGACTTTGACAAGCGACGTTTTCTCAACCAAAAACCCAATAAACAAACTAGCCATGAGTAACAGAAGACTCCTGATAGCAGCTGAATTTCATTTTGTACATCCAGTGGAAAAAGACAGTTAAAAACATCACAAGTTGACACAAAACTCTGTCAGCTTCAGCTGTTAAAGTAAACAAGATTCAAGATGCTGCATAAATTTTGCGCATGAACTCACCTGTCAAATTTTGACCAATCGGAGCATAAAAATTGGACGTAGAGCGTGACCAACGCGTGACCATTGTGAGAAAAAACAAAAGCAACTGTCTTCCCTGCCTGTAACAGCTGGCTGAATTTTCACGTCCGAGGTCAGTTTGCAATCAAAATTTTAATTGTGCAGCACATAAACACAACATATTTCATATGAATTAAGAAAAAAAATTGAACTTGAGCCTGCGATCACTTGAAAACTAGTTTACTTGTCAGCGGATAACTTCAAAAATACTTGACCTCGACGGGTCGACACCTGAGCCCGCGATACGGTCAAGTGATACTGGTCAGCGGGTACTCTGTTTTGACAGCTGTCAATTGATCAAAACATTGATGTCCAATATGTGTGCATTATCAGTTTTCCTGTGCTCCCAAACTAGTAAAAGTATGAGATTGAACGTTGTTCGCGATCTAGTAAAACAGTTAACTGGTCAGCGGACAGCTTCCAAATAAATCACGTCACCTCGATGAGTTGACACATGAGCCCGCGATATGGTCATGGGATACTGGTCAGTGGCTATCCTGTTTGGACAGCTGTCAATTGACCATATTGTTAATGTCCTATATTAAAGATGTGGACTTGCCAAGACACGCCTGAGACACCCCTCCCTTCCTTTTGATAGTCTCCCCTACCCCACCCATACAATCTGTAGACGCGTACGTACGTACGTACGTACGCTCGGTCAATCACGTGACAACCAAACGAAAAGAGGTTGACCATATTCCATGGGTATGGGGCTCTGTCCCACGCGCGCTTCGCGCGCGCGGGAGCCCCGCTATTAAGACAGGCGTTTACCAAACGCGTACGTTGAACTAAAACTGCACAAAAAAACGCTGTATTGAAGATCAACAAGATCGTGGCAAACATTTATTAAACAACTAACCTATCTGTCCTACACGGACCGTCTTGGAAGCCAGGGTGAAACCATTTTCAGCTGTGCAGTTATATAGTCCAAAATCTACACTCGAATTCATTGTCAAGTTAACGGTGCTCTCAGTAGCTTTGACCGAACTAAAGTTGGTTCCATCAGGCTTGCACAAGGTGAGCGTTGGTATAGGAACAGCATCTGACTTGCAAGTTAAACGTTACAGTGTGCCCAATACAGGACATTGGCGAGGAAGAAGTAAGGCCTTGTATGACGGCTGGGTCTGTCAATTATCATCGGAAAAATATGTTATTATTATCACATCGTCAAACCATTCTTACCACCTATGAGTGGTCTGGACTTTGTTAGGAATACCAATTCATTTTTTATCTATTTATTTATTTTAACATGCAAATAAGGCATTAAAGCGGAGATATAAATTCACCGCCTATCCAGTATAGTGAAAGGAAATAAATGGGCACGAAAAAGGAACTTTTGACTAATTCGGAAGTCGTCTAACTGACACATTGTAGGGTAATAAAATGACTCACGCAGGATGTTTTTATCATAATTTATTAAAATGTGAATAAGGGCGTTCAGCTACTTTCGGTCTGTTATATAGTTATCACTGCTTTAGTTGCAGATGCAAGGAAGGATATTATCCTCTCCTGATATTCGGACAGGGTCTTGCTTTTCCATGAACCCAAGCATATTTCAACGTTCTTCTCAGACTCCCTTAGAACTTTCTTCTGGTATGTTGATGCTGCCGGTAGTAAACTCTACATCCGCCCCGGCCTCCTGCTGTTAAAGGCCTTAAGTGGATGGCGTACAGGAGAACGGATTGCCAAGTTAATTTCCTTTAGTTAGCTGAGTGACTTTCGAGTGATTGCCGGGCTAGTCCACACCAAGTCAACATTCAGGGTTTTACGATATCTGAGAAGATGCTGCCACCTACAAAGGGTTAGGCCCTCTGGTGTGCGAAGGTACGGTGTCAAAGAACTAACAGCTGTACTTATCTCTGGCAGTGACCACCCTTTGTCGGTGTTTATCTCCAAACAGCAGTCAACTCGAGGTCACGTTCGAATGTGTGGAGCAAGATTGGAGCTTACAAGAACAAAGTGTTAAGTAAAAACTTTTAAATCTGAATCTGAAGCAAGAACATTTATTTAGAACTGTAAACAACAGCGTCTCGTAGACTATAAACTTAGAGACAAACAAAACAGATTCTCTCCAGTCAAGCCCTGTACTCATTTCCTTTTAAACTCAAAGTGTTTTTTTACAGTGTGGCACTGTTGTAGAATAAATTCCTCAGCATATTAGAGCACTGATAACGCAGTCATATCAAATCTTTAATAAAGATATCTATCGTCTTTTATTCGTCTGATACCACCACCAGGAAAAAGAGAACACCAGGTTTTATGTTAAATCTCGGTAACTTGTGTTTCTATCACCGTGGCTAAAAAGAGTATACAACACGTCACTGTAGGTATAGGCTGGAGAAAAAATTGTATGTCTGGCAGGTGTCTGGTAGGTAAGACTATATCAAAGATGCTCGGGTACCAATGCTATTCCACTCCTTGAATTAGTTTCAATCCTGACATTATAAGTTGATATTTTGCGGATGCAATGTCGACCGACGAGAGCCAAGCAACAGCTAAAATCAAACTAAAGAGGAGGGTTATAAAACATTAGTAAGGTACAAAAAGAAAGAAAGACCCTGAGCTAAAACAACGAAAACATAGATTTCCTAAAAAGCACGTCGACATGGGAAAAGAATGGCGTGACGTATTCCAACGAAGGCCAAAGTAGACCGATAAAGTTTTAAGTTCTACTCAGTAATATACTCACATTTAACGGTAAGTTCAAATGTTTTTTCACCACTTCCTGCAGAGTTGTTGGCTCTACATATGTATATTCCTGCATCTGCCTTGCTTATAGAACTGAAGATGAGATAAGCCTTTTCAAATCCAGAACTCATAACTTGAGTGGTACTAATACTGATCCACACCACATCTGATTCTGGTGTCCCTGTCGCAATACAGCTTACATTGACGGGACTCCCTTGACTGTAGCTTATAATTGCTGTCACTGGATGTGTGATTCTTGGTATTTCTAAGAATTCGAACACAGATGAGATGTTAACTCATTTAATGGCGCTTAGTTACAAGTTTCTGGCGGTAACAAAGATGGCTCGTTGGAGGGGCAAGAATGAGTTACTGTTAGAATTTTTTGCGATCAAAGTGTGGCTTGTGAATTTAATGGACCGGGGGAAGAGTTTCGCCTTGTGTAGTTTAAGTGCAATCAAATGAGGCCAAAACCATAAAATAATTATAACGCACTAAAAAGAGTTATATTTCATTACATTACATTACAAAAAATGGATGAAAGCTTTAGCAGGAATATTTTTCCAAATACTTGATAATGACTCCCAACCGCTGTCACAAAACATGAATTAGCAATTAGCGATCATTGTCTAGAACATGACGACTATTCTGTAGCTATTTACCTCCAAGCAAAATTTCTACCGTAAAAAACAATGAAGTGTCAAAAATAAACTGTTGATTCTGACAACAGCTAAGCTTTGTCTGTTATTAACCTGCATTTACCGATGTATAACCAGTAAACAGTTTTTTGTTTACAAATTTACAATGTCTTGTGCTTTTTTATTTAGCTAATAAGTTCATAAATTAGCAGTAACACTAAATCAAATGGTATTTCAAAACATAATGTTTTCAGATACTGAAGAATTGGCAATTCCCTTGGAACGGTGTCCCCGAAAAAGCGGAAAACATTAATGCCTTCAAAGTTTTATTTGTCAGAAAAAAAACACGACGGCCGTTCGGTCAGTGCGCGCTTAAATATGTAATCGTCAGTAGCAATCACAATCATTATTGTTTTCATTTTTTGCGCCCAATTATTTCACTGTTGTAGTACCCACTTTAACAATTAGTTAAGTACGCGGCTCGGTAAACCACTTTGCTGAAGAATTTTTATTCATCTACAAAAAATGTATTTTGTTATACGTGAGGTCTTCACGAAGAAAAAAAATTCTACCTTCATAGTACTCGATCGAAAATATCTGTATGAAGAAAGTGTACATCACCTTCAACAATCAGTCTGGCGTAATCAAATTGACCACTATCTTGTACATTGTTTGCATATAATTGACACCCATAAGTATCTGTATCATTCAGCGTAATGCCACTGAGATTGAAGATGACTTGACCAGAGGATGAGTTACCAGTACGGCTTCCAGTCACTCGTCCAGTAAAACTTTGATGTACATATACCGTTTTTCCAAAGGTGTTTAGAAATAATATTCTCCCATTTTTCTCTATTGTGGCTGCATTAGTTGCCTTGAAACCAAATTCAATTCCCGCAACGTCTCCTGAGAATCTCCAGGTGAAGTTCACAGACGAGTTAATCAGGCTTCTTACAGTTATTCCTTGATATGGTAAAATTAACTGTATTTTGCCAACTGAAAAAAAAAAGGACAACTCAGAATTTTTTTTTTTTTTTTGGTGTCCCAGACCTCGAGTCAATTACACTGTAATTAAACTTTTGCAAGTGTTATTTACAAGTAAAGCCATTGTTTTAAGGTGTTTCGATATAGTTTTTCAGAGGCTATACTATCCTTGTCTGATCACTATAAAATTTTCACCAAAGATTGACTATAGATTGAAATTTGTCAAAATGTAGATTTTGGTAAAATCTATGTTACTATGACAACAATAAACCAAAAACTTTGAAACTGATAAACGCCTAATTTTGCGCGATCTAGACCAGCTACTGAAAATCCAACACTAAGAACTTTTGGTGTTTAGCAAATAAGGCTCCGTAAGAAGCAAAAAATTCTGTATGTTTGAATTCGACTAAAACGAAAATAAATATCAATCCTTAAATTTTCAATAGACATATGTCCATGACTAGTACATTTCAGTGTGAGTAGTGTTAATGCTTTACATTCAAAAGATGCGATAAATTCAAACTAAAATGTACTAGTCATGGAGATATGTACAGTGCGCATTATTTTGAAAATATGGGCATAACGTCAAAACAGTGAATGTTGTAACACATATTTTTGGCACGTTCGTTAAAGTGAATCAATCTTAATAAAAGGTTCAGACATTATTATATACATTATGAAGATTATGTGAAGAGATTTTTAAAAAAAATTCGTGCGAGTCGTTTCAGAGATATACAAAAAAGCCCTAAAAGTTTAAATTTTGAATGAAGTTGCACTTAGACAGGTGGTGAGAAAACGGGTTTAGTTTTAAAGATGACAAGAACGAAAATACACCAAAATTTCCTAGCATAAAAATATGATATTAAGCGGCATTCTGCCGCTACTTAAGAATAATTTGAGTCATTTATAACGTTTTTATTAAACAATCTATCATGGCTATTGAAAATTTAAGATTTGAAATATATTTTCGTTTTAGTGGAATTCAAACACACAGAATTTTTTTACTTTTTACGCAGATTCTTGGCTAAACACAAATTTTGAGCTCTTAGTGTTGGATTTTCAGTAGCTGGTCTAGATCACAAAAATTTCGGCTTTTATCAATTTCAAATTTTTTGTTTATTGTTGTCATAGTAATATCGATTTTACTTAAAATTACATTTTCACAAATTTTAATCCATAGCCAATTACTGCTGAAAATTTTATAGCGATCGAAGAAGGAAAAAAACACTTTTAAGGCGATTGAAAAATATCGGTATGGCCTCTGAAAAACTGCATCGAAACACCTTTAAGTCTTAAAGCAATAACTACACTTGTAAAAGTTCTATAAAACTAACAACTAGAGTGAAAAAGGCTAGTTTGAAAAAAAAAGGTTAGGCTGACCAACTCAATATATTAAAAACTGTCACATGCATGTTTAGAATTAAGAAAAAAAAATTTCTCCCTTTTTTCACTACCGTATTAAATTCCACTTTCAATGAATAAATTCTTTTCAATTGTTAAGAATATTAACCCGCTGAAGTACAAGGGGGCTGGTTGCCAGCCCCCTAGGTTTTTCTGAGTTTTTTTTTTTTTTCCAAGAGGATAAAACATCAGCATCTGACGCTTTCAGTAACTGTTCGTTTATATCTCGCGCATTTTAAGACAAGTTCAGTGATGGTCAGTTTCCATGGTTACGAGATTAGACGTCATAAGTGGTAAGTGGTAAGTAGTCAAACCATTTTTGAGTGAAAACACTTTTTTTTTCAACTTCTATCTAAAATAAAAGTAAATCTTGAGGCTACAATCATGCAAAGTGCCCCCCTTGTACCACGGTGGGGATATGAATTTGTGTGTACGTCCGATGGTTAACTGATGAAACATTCGTTACACTGATGATGTTGACTGCTCCTTAAATGAGCTACGTATAAATATTTTTTCTCGTATTTTTCTAATAATGATAATAACTAATATTTATCTCTTTTTATGATGGCGTTTCATTTCAGTAATCACATATACACCCAGCAACATTCATTTATTGCGGCCTGGACAGGGCAGCTACCTATTTTTGTCTTAAAAGCATCTGAGAACTCGATTTGTTGGGAAGTTTGTTTTGACATTTAGAAGTTTGTTTCGCTGTTTTACCAGTTTCCTGTCCCCACCGCGTAGCACCCTATCCATGCTAGCACAGTGAAACGGCGGCCAATTTGTAAGCGCTAGAAAGTGAAAATCTATGATTCTTTCTGAACGCGCTTTAAAACGAAATGGCGATAAAAGTGTTAAAGAGATTCTTAGCACTCTTGAACCTGCGACCTCTCGGTTGGACATCCGTGAGCGTTACGTATGGCAGTCGGACGCGGGTGCGAGGGACAGTTTAATATTTTCTGTATAAGTATTTTGGGAAGGTAGTGTACGTTTAAGTGAGGATTTGAGGGGAAGACAAACTTCTTCATGCTCATTTCATATGTTTCGCAGCACTGTCGTTCCAGGGGCCTAACCAGTTATCAGCTGTGGATTATGCATGAACACAATCCAGGAAATCTTGTCACGAGGAGACAATTAGCTTCAAAGCGCCCTAATCAATCAACTCAGCAAAATCGGCTTTAGCAGATTACTTTCCTGTCGTAGTTCACTACTTTTCTTAACGAGGTGAATGCAGCAAAAGAGGCGAACAAACTGAATCACAATTGAGGTTATAATTTGCCTCGGTAAAGAGGCAAATGAAAAAAGCGATTTGCTTACCCAGGTAGACAAACTGAATAAAGTCACTGGGACTGACTGACAAATTATACGACGGACATAAGTATACGTATCTTTCGCTTGCCATCGTAAGCATCAGTGATACATTGGCTATGCTTAGTCTAATCTGGCTAGTTTTTAAAGGCGTACGAGCTTGTGCGTTTACGATTGTCGTATACGTTGCTCGCGTGAGGACGAAAAGCCCTAAATGCATAATTAGGTTTATATGCCGTCCTAGACAGACTCGATAGATAGCCTAAATAAAAGTAATAATATACACATACCTCCAAACGGAAGAAAGATCAGTACCAGTAGAATAAAATCCGCAAGGCTTCCAAACCAACATTTGATATACATTTGATATTCTTTGCAATCATGAGCAGTGAAAAAATATTTGCCATTAACTCCGACTCTCCAAAGACGAAGGTTGTACCGACGCAGATTGGAATCAAATTCCAGCTGAAGCATAAAGGTCAGTATAACTAAAATAGCATCGTTGGCGGAAGTTAGCAGTCACATCATTAACTATGTCTTTCATTTCTTCAATTTTTAAATTAAATTATTATTATTTTATTTGTTTTTCTATCTAAAAATGTATTTTTTTCTCGCAAAATCCTCTATTTTCACTGGCATTTAAAACAAATGACATAAAGTTGGACGCTCTTTAAAAATATTCAATATTTGGTTTTGATTAGCATATTTGAAGCTTAAGTTGGTCATCTCTGAGGGTCGGGAGCGGACTCTCTCCTATCCCCACTCCTCCTCAAACGGCTGAAATTTCAGACTATAAGAGCTAAAGTGAATAGCTTTTGGTAGCTCTTTAGAGGTCTTAAGCTTTAAAATGACACGCCCTCATTTTTTTCTTTTTCTCTCTTTTTTTGTTCAAAACCGATGGACAGTCGCTTAAAGCATTAAGTATTAAAAATATTTTTTGTGAATCAGAAAATGTAAAACTCTTTTTCTTTTAACTCCATCGCCATGTTTTCAAGTTATGTATGATTTCAAGAAAAAATAGTCACATTACATATCACGTGATTTACTGAAGACGACGAGGTCTTTCGGTCTTTGGAGCTGTATCCAAGTAATCATATCTTCTTGGTCACAAGCTACTTAGGGAACTAGCCACACCTTCTAAGGATGCTACAATTGGAAACTACGTTTAACTTGGCTCATTCGTACCATTTTCAGATATCTTAGATTGTTGGAAGGCGACGAAGAATGGCAGTTGTTAGATTTCCTTGTCCGCCTATTTATTTAGTGGTGGGGCATAGAATAATGTGTTGGGGAAAGAGAGAATGAGCTCATTCTCTCTTGGTTGAGGACATGTACCTCGCCCGCTAATAATGCAGTCTTAGCTTGAGCCATTGTTGGCTAAAGTGCTTGTTTTGCCAGGCTCTCTTTGTCAGTTTTTCAATTGTTAGGGACCGGAAACAGTGTAGTAGACTGTATCTTAGATCTTAAATAGCAGAATTCTTGGACCACTTCGTGGAGAGTTTCCATCCAGTTTACATCGGTAATACCGGTGGCTAGTTTTAAAGAGAATAGCGAGTTTTGTTAACGCCGATGATAACAGCGGATGCCAAAGAAGTTTCATTAAGCATCAGCGGCAAATAAAAACTCACGTATGGCCAATTAACTTGCTTAATTACTTTTTCGCAAGCTTTTTAACTAGATTGAAGACCGAGTCACCTCTAACTGAGGGAAACCAATAACCGGGAAAGAAAACAGCGAAATAGGGGCGGGGGCAATGACATATCTGCACCTCTTAACTCTTATTTGGAACCTTGTGTATTTGAAACCCAAACAATGGTTCACATTAGAGCCTATAGGCTTCTTGCTCACATCTCATCTTTAAGAGACTCTTTGAACGTCACCAAGGATCAGAGGGACAGCTAATTGCTTTAATGGCTTTCAGCACTTTATATCATCTTGATCTGCTCGCGATGTCAAAAGCTTTTGTTGAATCAACATAGGGGAAAAGTGGCCTTTGCTGTTCGCAACTTTCGCATCCGGTTGAAGGAGAGCCCAGGGTGTACTCCCACAGATTTTGTAAAAGGTGTTTGCTGTCCAGGGTCTTAAACCCGACTCTATTTAAGGTACTGAAAGTGTATACAATTTAAGGCCCTGAACCTGAAACTGACACCCCTATTCCAGGTGGGCAGAGAGGGACGAATAAGGTTTTAATAGCAACACACAAACCTTCATTAAATTACTTTCCCAATATGGCTCAGTTTTTCACAGATAAAGATTGATTTTGTTCATCGTGTCGCTGGCATTTACGCCTTGAATTTTGGCTGATACAATTTAGGTAACCAATCTAAGGAACACAACAGAAACACAATGTAAAAATGGGCCATACCCTATCGGGCAGTACATACCTATCTCGCTATATATGGGAGTATCCCCCCTGAGACGGGGGTAAAATATCTTGTTAAATATTGACCTCTTCGAGCAAAATCCACATTGACTTTCATGACGTACTGCGTCCGACAGCCGGCTCTGTAAGATGAGGCGAGCGATACTTTCCGTGTAACGCTTAAAAGGGATAATAAACAATTATTGAATGAGGTTGAGCATGATATCATGAATTATCAAAACCGAGGTCTGTGTTATCTGCCGAAGCCTTCGGCTTCGGCAGATAGTACAGACACGAGGTTTTGATAATTCATGTTAGTAAATTTTTAGCTCAGGATAATGATTTTCCAGCTTTCTGATTGGTTCCCTAAGCCCATGATATGAGCCATTATCGTTAAGTTTGACCAAATAAGGAAAAACTGATGGCGAATTTCTTGTGCTGAAATTTTGGAGGTCGGAAAAAATTTTTTCGCGGCGTCGTCGGTAAAGAAAATGTCACGATTTGAGGAGGTTTCCCCGAAGAAAATCAAGAGAATTGCCAACAATGCGACCCCATTAACACCAAAAGGTCAACAAAATATGGACTGAAGATTTTTATTGGTAAGTGTGTGTTAAATGCAATAAAATATTTATAAACAACTTTCACAACTTTGCAACTTTCGTAATTGTCAATGTAAACAAGGGTAACTAACATATTG